ATGAGATTTTTAAAATGATTGGTAAATTCAAAAGAGAAGTGATATCCAATGAATAGGAAATAAGTTGAAGATGTAGCAGCTATGCATGATATGGAATTCGTTTAGACAATCACATGGAATTACTGAGTATAAAGAATAATCAAAAGTAGTGAATGAAGGTAAACTTGGGGGCTTCACTAATTGTAGTGACGATATAAGTTGAAGGGATGGATTTAAAATTAGGATATGATGTTCTATTTTAATCTTGGCTTAATGGTTATAGGATGAATAGAAGTGGCAACATCATGGCCAACTGAGAATTAGATAGACTAACTCAACAATTAAGTTTCGAGGACGAAAATTTCTTTAAGGGAGGTGGATTGTAAACCCCCACACTTTTATTTTAATATGTAGCAAGTAAATATATGAAAATTTTTGTAATCGAACTTGTACCAACTATGTTTGATGTCCAAATGTATGTTGTATAAGTTTGGGTTGGTTTTGGAAGGGTTTGGAACGGATTGGAAATGAAAAACAAAAGAAACAGGTAAAACCGAATAGACCGTACCGGTACGCCTAGAAGTTACCATATTGGTACGCTACTATCCAGAGAGTTTACGGTACCGGTATTGCGTACCGGTACGCTCTGTAAATTCCAAAAATTTAAAGTCGCGATCTGGGGTCCATTTTTCATCCTATAAATACATAATGACGCCTCCTTTAGCCCTATTTCAACCCTTCTAACCCTAGGAAGCCTTATAGAGGAAGAAAGAAGGGAAAACACAAGAGATTCAAGTGTTGATTCAAGTGGGAAAGATCAAATCTTCTACATTTCTTCCCAAACTACAAAACAAGGTAGGGTTTTCTTCCATTCTTGTACATTGAGGCTAGGGCATTTATATGTATGTAGGTTTTTACTCTCGATCCTAAGTATATACTATGAAATCCCTATCTCTTGACGCTTTTGCACTTATTAGCATGTTTTAAACAAAGCTATGGTTATATAGCCAAGAAATTTCTCCTCTTCACTTTAAAACCCTAGTTTTTGAGAAAAATAATGTTCCTTTGTGTTTGGTTTTCAAATTCTAGTGCTTTTTTCTTGAACAAGAAAATGGTATTTGTGATGATCTCTTGCATATTTTCTTAAACTGTTCTCTTGTAATACAAATTGTGAAATTTAGGGATTTTGGATTTTCTTGTGATTTGAGAAAATGTTTGTTATTGCATTCGTGTGTGGTTGTTGTGATGGACTTGAATTGCATTCGAGCACTACCGTAGAGTGTTAGAGGTTAGTCTATCCCAGTGGGGGTGAGATGATTTCCTAACACTTGTAGTGGTTTATTGTTTGTGAGAGCAACCATTATTGTTCACGTAAGTTCGAGGCTGGGAAGGATTCGTCAATGCCGTGAGAGACGGTATACGCCCTTCCTAAAATGTTTGAGATTGTGTGATTGTGGTGGGTGAACGTGGTGGAATCGTCGTGTAGATTCATGGGAAGCAACCAAAATACCTGAGATACGAACACAAGTTGTGGATTTATGGATTATTGTAATTGAAACGGTTTTCTACAAGAGCTTGTGGAAGTATGGGATTCTACAAGAACTTGTGAGAAATGGTTTATGGTTCTAAATGATTTGTTAATTGTAATTTGGTGTCATGACTTCACTTAATTTATTGCTATTGTGTAAACTTTAAATCTATTGAAATGTTACTGTTTTCTTTCAAAAATTAATATATGATAATTGCGAAATGAGGCTGACTTGTTTTATATGTTTTCTAAACCTTGTTCGATTTTGGGAGAATGTTGCTATAGAGCTTAGTGCCCACCCCCTACAAATTATATTTATTCTCTGATTTTGATATGGAGGAAGAACTCGGACGTGATGAACAGGTAGCTTGAGAAGCGTCATTGGATGCAAGCGTGGATCCCGAGGGGGATGTCTAGAATTGATCTCTGCATGTTTTAGATTAGGGGATATATTTTGGTACACTAATAGATGTATTTTGTTCATTCCGCTGCAAGATTAAGCTTGATTTTTTTGAGATGTAATTGTCATAGTTTATATATATTATTTTGGGATGTAGATACCATAGTTCGGCATATTCTTTTGGGATAAAGTTGTAGATATTATGAATGATGAATGAAATTATCTTAATTATGGATATTATTAGTTGCTCTCGTGTTGTGAATGGTTTTTAGATTGTAATACAGTCCAAGGTGGGTTTTGGGGAAGGTTTTCATCGACCTTCTGGAAGGTTTTGCTTACTGGATAACATTTTACATTCACCTTTCGGAAGGTTTTCTTCGACCTTCCAGAAGGTTTTGTCTGCTAGATAAAAATTTATNATTTTACATTCACCTTTCGGAAGGTTTTCTTCGACCTTCCAGAAGGTTTTGTCTGCTGGATAAAAATTTATATTAACCTTCCGGAAGGTTTTGCCTGTTTTTCTGCAAATCCTTCCTTTTTCATTTCCAATCCATTCCAAATCACCTCATTTTCATCCCAAACATACATAATGAAGTTTTCTACATTAAACCACACTTATACAAGTTCATTATCATTCATTTACATAATTTTATTCACAATAATATTACAAAATCCAAAAATTATACAAAAATGTGCTCTATAAGCCACAAGTCGGCTTTCTTCATCTCTGAGGCACCGTGTAAGGGCCCTCCATCGGCGCATACCTCGCACCTGAAATGTTTTTCCGTACAGGGTGAGCTATACCCAGTACATTATTTCCTATAGAGACTACTCCCCAACCTAAGTGCATATACAATGTTCACATGCAACATTTCACAAACAACAACTATTCCAATCAAGACTAATCAATCTATGTTGGAATCTAACATGCCGTGCCATGATATGAGATGATACCCACTTATGCAACTCAACCCGAGCTCTCACTGACTCCTTTCCCCCATGCAATGCCATGAGTATTAAGACCGGGCTCTTCAATTGCCGTAATTGGTTTCACTCATCCAATGACCATTTTAAAATTTTTCAGGTCTTTCTTGGGGTGGGGTATTTTTGGAGTTACACCAATGGTCACCCAACTGATACGGAATTCATGGACTTCCACTAATGGTTCCACGTAGACCGACACACTTTATGGGCTCTCATACCAACGGAAGTGTGTATCCAAATATCGGGTCTCTCACCCGAGGGATAGTCTAACCCTTCTTGCTACTCGACCCAATTCCTTTCATAAAATCTTGCGACTCAGCCAGATATTTAATCCAACTTTCCCGAATTCACCCATCATCCACCTACATGGTGTTTGATGCCAACCATGCACCCATACCCATAAAATGCGATGTCTCCGTGCATATGCAATGTAATGCACCATTGCTACTTCAATGTCATGCCCACATGTAATGAATGCCATATGAGCAACTTTAACATATATTTTCATATTTCATGGCCACTCATATCATATGCATATAATAGCCAAATTTCATCTCATTGTTAATATGTCAAAGAGCATATATCAACATATGTATACCCAACCATAATCCATAAGCATGTTATTTCATTTATGCCAATAACACCCTTAATTTCCAAAACATAAATTAAACACATAGCATGCCCACATAATACAAATTTTTCATGAATCANATATCATATGCATATAATAGCCAAATTTCATCTCATTGTTAATATGTCAAAGAGCATATATCAACATATGTATACCCAACCATAATCCATAAGCATGTTATTTCATTTATGCCAATAACACCCTTAATTTCCAAAACATAAATTAAACACATAGCATGCCCACATAATAAAAAATTTTCATGAATATCTTTTAGGGCACATTCACATAACCCCAAGGTACAAAATTCCATGGAATTACACACACAATCACCACATATATCAATTCCAAGCTAGGAATTCATTTGCTAAACCTTTTCTATACCCATTTCACCCATTTCCATCAATTCCACATCCATAGGCAAGTGATATATATCTCTATCAACCTACCCATTACATACAACACCCTAGGTTATAAAATAAAACCAAGTAGGAAGGAACCCTACCTCTTGAAGCGTAAAGAATGACCGTAGGAAGTCCAAAGAACCCGCTTCTAACCCAAATCTCAAGCTTCCAAAAAATCTCGTACCTTGATCTTCGGTAAAACCCATCGTTTTTGGTACATAGGCATAGCCCTTGACGAGGAGAGCAATTTTTCTTCTTGGCCCGAGGGGATCCGAGCACCATGGAGTCGTAGATCATAGAGAGAAGGTGAAGGAGCTCTCTTTTTTCCCTCTCTTCTCTATCAGGTAACGGCTAAGTGTGTTTGTAGGGGACAAATTCAGATTTTCCCCCCATTTATATTTCTCGATACTTGTCCCACAATTCGCCACACAACCCTATTTTTTCTCGTGTCCGTTTTTGCCCTGAAATGATTAAATTTCGTTCCGGTTTAAGTTTAAAATATTTTTATTTTAATTTTCCTTAAATAATTTTTTATTTATTGAAATTTTATCAAACATCTTATTTTTGGGTCACCCGAGACTCGATTGCCTCGTAAAACATAAAAAATCTGACTATCTCATAATTGGATGAAATTTGATAGGGTAACTAGATTTTGCGAGATGAATCTAACGGTGAGGTTTGTTTCGTCATCTGAGATCTAGAAAAATTCAGGTTTTTGACCCGTACTAGAGCGACAAATTACCGTTTTACCTTTTTTATAAAAAGTTTAAATTTATCGGGTTTTACATTCTGCAGAATCGCATCAGCAAAGTCTGCTTTAAGCTTTGAGGGGATTGGGGGAATAGCCTAGAGAAGCATCTGCAATAACTATGGATTTCAAAGTTCATATGCTGAAAATGGTGTAAAACTTTCTCACTCTAGTGGTTTAGTTAATCTTCCAAGCTTGGATACCCTGAATCATTCAGTTATGCTAAAAAAGTAGAAAATAATTCTGATGAAAAAAATGTTCTAGGTTTCTGCTCACCTAAGGAGCCTACGCCACTGCCTCCACCTCTCCCTCCATTGCAATGGCAGGCTATGAAACCTCATTTAGATGTGACAGAAGATAAGCAAGATACTGTATCTGATGCCCCAAGTTATGCATTTGATCAGAACCTTTTGAGGACTATAATCTCTCAACAACCTAAACTAGCTCCAGTTAAGCAAGATCAATTTATTAACATTGCATATACCCTGGATATCAAGGTACTTATGCTAGTTACTATTTCCTTTTTTTGTCCATGCAATTGATCATGACTTAAGTAGAGACTGTGACATGTAATAATTGACTGTGTTACTNTCCAGTTAAGCAAGATCAATTTATTAACATTGCATATACCCTGGATATCAAGGTACTCATGCTAGTTACTATTTCCTTTTTTTGTCCATTCAATTGATCATGAATTAAGTAGAGACTGTGACATGTAATAATTGACTGTGTTACATGCTAGCAGCCAGACTTTGGGGGGTAAATAATCAAGCACTGATGGAATTTTATGTTTCATCAAATCACATTAATTTTAATTATTACTTTAGAGATTCTTGAAATGCTTTTGGAGCTTTCTCAAATGAGCTTTGATCTTCATTTACTAAGCTCATTCTGCAAATGTTAGTAAATTCTATTTCCCCACTCTCCCAACCACAAAAAACCACCACTCACCAGCCCAAGTCAACCATATTCATACAAACACCGATTTCACAAAAAAAACACTCAAAAATTATTTCAGCAACCTTATCATTGATTCAATTGATAATCCCTTCTAATTCTATTCTACTACACAAAACCAATGACACTATGATTCAATAAAACCAACCCATAGTATCACACAAATTTTCACTTCTTCAATTAACCATCCACAAATGCACATTCATAAACAATAACCAGAGCTAATATGAATCAAAGGAAGAAACTCACCCAAAATCTAAACATACATAGATTTAGCTAATTGATGCTATGATCAAACTCAACCCTACAAAAAATCCAACGACAAAATTTGATATGATCACAGTAATAACTAACGTTGGAACTGAAAAGGATTTAAAAATTTCCTCTATCCCCTAGCTTATTCTTTCCATTTTAGTTTTTTCTAATTTTTGTCCATTGTAACCATCCATATTAACTAAACAAATAGGACCCAACAAAAATTTACCTTTTATGCTAAATTTTTGGATCTATCTTTGATGCTAAATAGCCCAACAACAAATTTGGGGCTGCCAGGAATCATTGGCAATTAAGGAATGTTTAGAAACACATGCCACAACACACCATTCAACTTTGGATTCAATTGGATATGGATATTTGCCAAGAGATTAAAGTCATAACAGTATACCATGTAACAGGATATGAGGCTTACTTGAAAAATATTGGCCTCATAAATGGGGAATCATAATCATTTGCAAAGTTCAAGAAAGATAAAAACTTGAAATTAAAAAAAAATCATTTAGCACACTTAAGTTCAAGAGACCAATCAAAAAAATACCAAAAAATTCAAAATTTTATGCTCTCTTCCTTTCCTAGCAACCAGATAGAAGATACTCATACCGTAACAACTCAGTCAAATAGAGATCCTTACTTGCCAAACATGACTTAATTAAAGGAGAAAAAAGGACTGCATCATTGTTAAAATCCAATAAAAAAGCAACAATGCAAATAAAGGATAAAATAAGCCACCCATATTAATAATAACACAGGACAAATCCAAAATTACAATTACATTGATAGGAAAAATTCAGTCAATCACACGCTAGATTGATAGTAACATAGAGAATGACCCAAGGCAAAAGAAGCAGTGAAGTTCAGGAGTAAGCAACCAATGACATAAATTACATTTCAAGTACATAGTGATATTCAGCCAATAAAATGTGCTACACCAAAATCAAAAACTTTTCAAGTGCAAAAAAAAACTATTTATTTGCAATAACTAAGCAAATCATATGAACAAAGTTAAAGTGCCCAACATCACGTTTGATACAAACTCATACTCATCTCATCTTAAATATTCATGCTCATCTTAAATAGTCTCACCTTAATTTGTGCTCACTTGTAAAGTTTAATACCACCACCTCCAAAATGGCACCACTACCTAATACCATAATTGCATCCAATCACCTAGCATTAACATTTAATTGTAGGGGTTTAGTTAAGTGTGAGGGGTTAGAAGGGTGGGTATTTTGGCTGGGGTTTGCACAGAAGGGGGATTTGCTAAGTATGTGTATGAGAGAGAAGAAGAGAGAAACAGAGGGTGGCGTGGGTTGTGCGGGGGGGTTCAGGGGGTGGATTATGCAAAGGCAGAGGGTGTGTCAGAGAGAGAGAAGCAAGGGGTGGGGTGGGTTGTGCATAGGGGGTAGGCATGGGGGGTTTGCCAAGAAATTAGAGAGCTTGGGTGGGGGTGGTCTCTGTGTGCGTGGGGAGGGGAAGAGAGAGAGAGAGGAAAGACACATAGGAGTACTGGTTTGAGATTGCACAGGGTGTCGCTTGAGATTGCATAGGCAGTAGGAGGCATGAAGGGGAAGCACAAGCAGCAGGACTTCAATGGTGAGTAATGTTGCGTGTGTCAGGCGCCTAAAAATTCAAAGTAATGTTGCGTATGTATAGAGTAATGTTAAGTGGGAGGTGATGGGTGTGATAAGATGGTTTTGAGGGGAAAAATATGTGTAGGATAAAAATCCAAAGTGGTAGTTGTTTTATTATATAGAATGATGAAAACAAGAAAACAAGAAAAGGAACATAATGATAGACAACTTCCTGAAAATGATGAACTATGAAGAAATGTTTGTGATGATAAGTCAGGCCAGGAAAGGGAAAACAAATAACTCCTCTAATCAGCAACTCAATGCATATCCATAAAAAATTAGACACAAATATAACAACCTATCAAAGTCTAACAAACCAAAACTCAATTAGTGTCACGCCCCAAATTTTCACAAGCCCAGGGAGTGAGTGTAAAGGAAGAAGAAAAGTAAATGAAAAGTCATTAGGTTGGATAAATTGGTTTATCATTCATTGACCATGTTTTCCAAAGCTTTTTAGTCAACTTTTCTTCCATTTTTAGCCTATTTCTTGAAGGTTTCTAAACCTCTCCCTTCGACATCCTTCCCACCTATTTTAAAGGTGTTTTACACACTTAACAAGTCTTTTAATTTTTTCATAAAATTTTGACATAACCTCCTTTGTTTCCAAGCCTTTTTCCCACCTAATATTCACAATATTTCATATGTATTATTATATCACAACCCACCCTCACTCGGTGGCCACAATCCATGTAAATTAAACATACATCCCTTGTTCTCAACATACACATCTAATTGTCCCAATATACACACATAATACTCATCACATAAGAGATATCCTACATATCAATTGGGTTTACATCCTTACACTAAAAAATGACCCAAGGTCTAAATCTATTACTTTTCCAAATTGAAATACAAGTCATTTGGGCTTATGCCCATATATACAAAATATGCCCAAAGGCCAAATATCTATACAAGTCTCAAGTATCGGGAGCCTCATCTGTAATATGATATCCCACGAATGGGTCAGCTCAATGGCTTGATCCGAAATGTGTACACCCAAGTGCAAGCGGTCAAGCTGTAGTAATAATCCAGTGAAGTTTGGAGTCGAATCCATAGGGAGCTATGATTGGTGTTTTGAAGTCAGCAGCAATAGAGACCAAGTAACTTTTGGAAATTTCGCGTGTTTGGAGGAGTGGTGAGGTTTTCTTGATTATAATAGAAGATTCTTTTCAAGAGTTTTCTACACAAAATATAGATTCTCAAAATGTAATAGCCACCCTTTAGCTCAAGGATTAGAACATGTAATTGATTATCCGGTTTATTATGTTTGTGCTTTATGACTCAATTAACTCTCGTGTCAACAACAAGTTAACCAGAGGATAAAGATGGACTGTAAGGATTAAGCACATGATTCTGATGCCTTTCTAGAAGTTTACAAGAATTTTCTGTGCCGAGACTTCACCCGTCTACCAACAAGCAAGGGTTTCTACAAGGCCTCCAACCATGACATTAATGGTACATTCTTTGAAGAAAGCGCAATAATATTGGAGATTGAAAAGATGTCATGAAGAGCTAGCCGGGGTGCTTGCCTTGAACCACTGGGTCTTTCTATGCAGGAGTCATCCGTATCATAGAAGGAACCTTTGGTTATACAAAGTACCTTAGCTTTTCTAGATGCATTCAATCATCCAATGAACAAGTGGAATATAATTCATTAAAGCATAAAGGAGTTGCACAAACATAACTTTCGGGTAATCTTTACATATTCATCACCTCTTACTAAAGAGTGAATGAGGAACTACTCACTCGTCATGGCTTTGGTCATGCTAGACAAGTGAGTGATACTCATCCCTCCAAGTGGAGGAGCTACTTAGTGAGAGTACAATAAACGAAAAGCTAATCTTCAACGAAGAATAAGTGAATCACGTCTCACCCTTCATGGCTTTGATAAAGCTCTAGAAAAGTGGAAGAGTTTCACTCTTCTAAGAAAGAAGGATGCTCAAGCAATGGAAGTGAAATACATGAACAAGAAAAGTAGAAGAAAGCTAGTTGCTTTTGGAGGGTTTCCACCACAACAAAAAGATTAACTACCTCTCTTGATACTTTGTAAGTAAAAGCAAGTACAACTACAAGGGGAGTCTAAGCCTCCATCATGGTTGTCATAACATGAGTGTAGAGACTTAGCATAAGTAAATGAAAGACTTCAACTACAAGGGGAGTCTAAGCCTCCAACATGGTTGATATAAATGGAAAATGTAAGCATAAAGATGAAGTATTCAAGAACTAGATGACTAAAATTTCTTACAAGAATAAAGATTGCTCCCCTATTTACTCTACAAGAGGAAGAATGCCTTTTAAGCTCCCAACAAGGGAGTATTAATAGGCAAGGAAGGGGAGCGAGAGGTAGGAGATAGGTGAGNAACAAGTGGAATATAATTCATTAAAGCATAAAGGAGTTGTACAAACATAACTTTCAGATAATCTTTACATAATAATTACCCCTTACTAAAGAGTGAATGAGGAACTACTCAATCGTCATGGCTTTGGTTATGCTAGACAAGTGAGTGATACTCATCCCTCCAAGTGGAGGAGCTACTTAGTGAGAGTACAATAAACGAAAAGCTAATCTTCAACGAAGAATAAGTGAATCACGTCTCACCCTTCATGGCTTTGATAAAGCTCTAGAAAAG